GAGCCATTTAGACCTAGACATTTTATGGTCCTTAGAATGGGGTCCGCCAGTTTTCAAAAATACTATGAGTAAAAATAGATTCAAAGAAATAATAAAATATTTACGATTTGATTTGAGAAGCACGCGTAATACACGTTTATCTACTGACAAATTTGCAATGATTTCTGATATATGGAATAATTTTATAGAAAATTGCCAAATGTGTTATATTCCTGGTGAAAATATGACTGTTGATGAGCAGTTATTTCCATCGAAAACACGTTGCCCTTTTTTGCAATATATTGCGAACAAGCCTGATAAATTTGGAATAAAGTTTTGGTTATTAGTGGATGTTGAGAGCAAATATCTGTGTGGGGGTTTTCCTTATTTAGGAAAAGATAGTGAGCGCCTAAGTAATATGTCGTTACCAGAACATGTTGTTATGAAATTGTTACAACCTTACCTCAAAAAAGGTCGGAACGTTACAACGGATAATTTTTTCACATCTCTAAAATTGGCAGAAAAGCTTAGATCTGAAAGTACAAGTATTGTTGGAACAATGAGACGGGCAAGACGAGAAGTACCAGCGAATTGTAGAAACATTCGTACAAAGAGATATGAAACCTTTATACTGAAATCGGCAACAAACACAACCCTAACAATTTATCAAGGTAAACCTGGGAAAAATGTCATTGTATTGAGTACATTACACGAAAATATTCATATTGATGCTGAGTCAAAAAAAAAACTACCGGAGACTATACAATTTTATAACGAAACTAAGGTAGGCGTGGATATAATTGACCAAATGGCACGAAAATACACTGTAAGAGCTGGAACACGAAGATGGCCAGTCCACGTCTTCTATAATATTCTAGATTTGGCCGCCATAAATTCATGGATTATTTATCGCCAAGTTACAGGTGAAAACATTTCTCGTCATAATTATATTCTACAACTTGTAAGTGAACTTCGCGCAGAGTACGTGAATAAAAAACAAAGTGCATCAGCTTTTCAACGTTTGGATAACATAACTATTGAAGAAGAACAGCCTTCTACATCACAAAAAAGACGACAATGTCAAATTAATTCAAAATGTAAAAAGAACCGCACTTGTGACTTATGTACTATTTGCCAGAAAGCTGTTTGTGGTCAATGTGTAAAAAAAGTATTTAAAAAAATTATTTGTAATAAATGTTTTATGTAACTAATCAAAGTATTTAATTAAAAGCATTAATTAAAATTCGTAATTTTGTTTTTATGACACACATAGGTACATATTTCAATCATATTTTCTCCGTAATTATCATATACCGTCAATTTGACGGTCGCGGTCTTTGAAGGTATGCAATTTCCCCGACCCTTCTAGTGTTAATTTGTCAATAATGATGATTACCATCACAAACGTTGAAGAAGGTCTTCAAGAGCATTATCGAAATGTCAACCTAGCAGCTAGAAATGTTGTGGAGTGTTGCATAGGTGTTCCCAAAGCACGCTTTAGGTAAATGCATTTTTAAAATAGATTGTTTTCAACTCGCCAGTTCAGCATTTAGATGTGCAATTACACAATGTAATATATGAACTGCACCCGTGGGACTGATGGGTCAAACTTTCATTGTTATCACGATAAATAATTTTGCACTTTACATAATATTTAAATCAGTTTTTGATTTAAATGCGGATGGCTTAGGTCAAGGATAAATTTGCAATTAGCATCCTACATTTTAATTCTCTACGATTATGTTGTTATCAGTTTGAATAATTTTGTGTATAAAGGCCAATAAGAAGTATGAAAGAAAGTTCATTTTCGCCGTCTTCAAATTTACTGAACAACTGTCGGGTCGATGACAAAAGTAGTTTAAACCCGGTAAAACCGATTCATGAACTACATCAGCTTAACTAGTTACCTCGACAAAATTTCTTGTTCCGTTCAGTCTAAATATGACATCAACTAATAAAAAAAAAAGTTTTTTCATCTAGTGTACGGCGACGAATAGACAAAAAAGCCTCGACGATCTACATAACTAGGGTTATTGACCCTCAATGAGTAAATATTCTTGCTAATACGATACTATCCTCAAAGCGTATTTTCAGTTCGTCATACACGTCACGTAAATGGAACCTTCCCTTGTTCCTGGAGGGTTCTTAACCTTTAATTGCCGAGGTGGTGTCTCTGTGATACCACGCAAGTGGCAACAGGAAAATCTTATCAATAGGGTTAAATATCTGTCTCTTTCAGTAGCTGCTTGTTTTGACTCGATCTTTTGTTAGTTAGCCGTGAACACACGGCACGTTCACAGGTGTGCCCGTAATCGGACCTCTGGTGTTAACGTGACGTAAGGTCGGTGTTAATGTAGTATTTTATGCTGTTGTGGAAAACTTGATATATGATAATTTTGTCTTAATTTTTTTAGACGGCGCAAGCAAGTGCATCAGGAATCGGACGTAAAAGAAAAATATAACTGAATATGAATAGCCCTAGTAAACAAAACATTCTAGAGAGCTGATTAGACGAAGTGTTACAAGATTTTAGTGATTGTGATGATGAGTTGGTTGACTCGGGGTTTTCCACCTACTCAGCAAGCATGAATATATGTAAGTGCACTTACATATATTGGCACCCTAAAAAAGAACAAACGGCATATACTATCCTCAATTCAGGCATCAAAAACACGAACACCTGAAACAGGACACACCAAAGATTTTACACTTGTATCGTATGTGCCAAATAGATCAAGAAACCAAAAAGCCACAAATTATCATGGATTATAATAGATAAATAGATCAAATAGACTAAAGGTGGCGTCGATGAAATCGATAAAAAAATGCTAAATTATTTTTGCAGTCGCTGTACCCAGAGATGGCCGATGGTTATATTTTACGGCATTCTGAATTTGAGTGGTATAAATATATATACAATCTATACATCATGTATAAATGGAAAAACAATGGAACGAGGGGCATTCTTGCAAAGTCTTGCCAGAGAGTTATTTGAATCGACGTGCCTACAACAGTCACTGGCCAAAGGAGCTGACACTTACAATTAAACGTATTCTTGGCAAAGATTTGACAACCAAAGAACAGAAGACCATGAGGAAATCATAACGAGTCAAAAAAAGAAGTTGTGTAAGATTTTTTATTGTTGCTTTATGATTTCATCCCAATATTTATCAAATACTCATATTACTCATATTATTTTTAATGTACATTTGATTAAAAACGTGACTTCAAATAGGGTGTCACCATGACCTAACCTCGGCAACTATGTACTGAAAATGAGGGTCGGTAACTGAAGGATAACTTTTTCATAACTCCGTCCAGACTTTGACAGCTACTGCATCGGACCCTTAGTGCATCCTTGAGGCTTTTCTAAGTTTGCTTTAATACTGATTATGTTTTAATCATAGCTGGGCAGAATATCGTTAAACCGTTAATCGCTAGTTAACGAAGTTAAGATATTGTTTGATGATTTAACTGTTAAGCTGAAACAATATAAACGGTTTCCTTAACTTCCCTTAAGTCACATGCCGTTGATAATCACAGTAATTTCTACAGAACAATTTATTCGGTTTGTTAGAAGACGTAGCTCTTGGAACGAAACAAGGACGCTTTATTATATTATTTGTTTGTAACGCGTCGTTAACTCACGCAAAAAATTAATAAAATTGAAATCCGTGCAGTAATAAAATACTTTTGCTTGAAAAATTTTACTACGGTTTTTTTTTTAAATTTATGTGAGACTTTGGGTGAGTCAGCTCCTCCATATTCACCAGTCGCGAGGTGGTGTGCAGAGTTTAAACGTGGTAGAACATCGGTTAAAGATGACCCGCGCTTGGGCCGCCCTTCATCGTCAGTCACTCAGGAAATGGTCGATAAAGTTGAAAAAATTGTTCTGGATAATCGCACTGTAACTGTCCGTTTTATAGCTGAAGAGTTGAAGATTTCAAGTGGTAGTGTGCATAGCATTTTGCAAGGTCACTTAGGAGTGAAAAAGGTAACCGCGCATTGGGTCCCGAGAATGCTAACGGACGCACAAAAGCAAACGCGACTCAACATTTCAAAGAGCTCATTGGAACTGTTTCAACGAGATTCTGATCTTTTTTGGCTCGATTCGTAACAATGGATGAAACATGGCTTCAATGATGCAGAAATGAAAAAACAATCAATGTTCTGGAAAAGACAGACATCTCCCACTCCAAAGAAACTCAACCATCCGCCGGCAAGTTAATGGGTTCAGTTTTTTGGGACAGCCAGGGGTTGATAATGATTGAATACCTTGAACATGCGAGTCACTATCACAGGAAAGGTCTACGTAGAACAAATAAATAAATTACGTCAGGAAATCCTTATAATTGGAAAATATAATAGATTTTTATCTTTTATAAATATGTTTCATCAGTAATTGATAAAGATCAAAGTTAAGTCCATGTGAAAAGCTATATTATATGCGTTCATTATTGCAGAAAGCAGGAATCTAATAAAAAAAAATGCCTATAGAAGGTGAAAATTATAAAATTGCTCTTGAGCTTCTTAATGACAGACACAATAACATACCAAAAATTGTAAATTATCATCAGCTTTTTCAAAGTGTACTAATAATGATAATTAAAAACGCTTGAAGCACAGTAAATTTGCATTTAGCTGCACTTAAAAATTCAAATCAGCCTATTGAATATTGGGACACTTTATTGATTAGCATTTTGCCAAAAAATAGATTCCTACACTTATAAGGGTTTTCATTTAGAAAGAAATATAAGAAATGTTCCCACATTATCTGAGGTTTTAACTAATTTTTGATATATTATTTTTTGTTTTTCTTCGTATCTTACAATATACTATAGATAAGATCAATATTCGATCTGAAACATTGCGCACCAATGATTGTATTATTATGCTTTTGCGTGCTGATATACAAAAAATTTAGTATAGTTTTTCTTTTAGGATCCACACATCAGGGCCATAGCCTTTTTTAAGGCGAAGGTCTCATGTGTTGCCATGTCGGCTTGTGCATGTAGTTTTTCGGTTGTAAATGACAGACGGTCTTCTTCCACTTCAAATATTAACGATATTTTAAAACATAGAGATTCACTGTATATATACATTATTTCTCCTGGTCCAAGTAGACTTATATTTCCCAAAGAATTGCCTACCGATATTCCTGCAGGAAACCGTTTGGCTAAAATAAAACCCGTTGACAACAGCAGTTGGAAGCTAGAGACGTGAATCTCCTAGAGACGCGAAAAAAATCGAACTCGAAGGTTTGTTGCGACATCAAATCTTCGGCGACGATCATATTGACCGGTGTGATAATTATTTATTCACCGGTCAATCTAATACAATTACGTTTCAGAGACGTGAAAATTTATATTTCGTTTTCAACAGTCACGGTGTCGACGAAAATAATAGATTCGCTGTTAATGGTAAAGCGCGATTGCTCCGGTGCAATAATTTAAAATCATTAGCGTTTGTTCTATTCTCTGGGCGTAGAGGCGATGGTTCCCAATTTTCAATTTATAAATTGCGCGATTTACAAACGTTGCAGCCCACTCGCGTAAATATCCAGTCGACACTGGCGGAAGCGATCGTAACAACCTATATTGGTGACCAAAATTGGTATTGCAATCAATAGTTAAATTAGAAAGATTAGATATCAATATTTCAAATAAATCGAGAAAAGTAGGTCGACCCATGAAAAAAAGGGAGGATATCAAAGTCGCTGTAAATAATGATAGTTTTTCGAATGATCGCAAACTCGGTATGCTCCCTGTTGCCGTCATTGAGAAAAATTAAATTTTAGAAGATAGAATGTGCCGTCTTGAAAATAAAATTTGAGTGTTTTTACTTAGGAAACATAATCCAGTGGTAAACCTCACGCGACGCTGTAAAAAAATATACTACCCGTAATTCGAATGTGCATCGCACGATAGTAAAGCAATATACCGATCGAAATCCATCAAACTATCGCGACGCGGTACAAAAATATGGTGAGGAAAATCATTCTGTGAATAAAGAAGCGGTTAAACGTTATAATACCAGTAGTCGTAATGTCGCACCCGCTTTTAGGAATTCTTCTCATTTAATCGGGCAAAAATGCAACGAAAAATTAGATGTAGTACTCATTTATTTATTAAAAACGCGTTTTTTGTTCACGAACGAGTCTGCTCACTACCCCGCTCGTCTTTTCTTCGAAAAAAAGACGGGACTCAAATAGTGTTGTGGTGCTGGCGCTTACAACGTTCAAAATTTTTCACCTCTCGATGAGGATTTCTATCATCATCCCGCGGTTTCACAATCCTCCTACTGGTACTTGTTTCTCAAAATCCAAGGTCGTGTCTATCGCCGATTTTCGATCTCAGTTATACTGACAAGACAAATCCTCTCAATTTGTATATTCATGACAGCGGACGCGGAAGTTTTGCTGCTGGTCTTAATTTAGATTCTACCGTCATCAGGTCTATCAAACACTTTTTGCACGATGTAAATCCTTACATCGATTGTTTTAAACAACTGAGAAGGGAACCTTCGGACGATTTGATCTCAATTTCGAACGCACATCACGTTGCACTCACGGTAACATTATTAGAAGTTTTGCCGATAGGGAACGAAGAAGCTGTTATTTTAAGTACCGAAAGCGAATGATTTATTGCGAATTGTATTGCAGTTTGGAAAGTATGCAGGCGGAAACCTCTCATAGTAACCCCGGATAGTTTCCCAGTTAATTAGATAATAAAAGTAATAAATTAACGCAAAATTAACACGTTCAGTGTCTTTTACTTTCGGAACCTTGATTTTCTGAATTAGGCCGACATTCTGAGGAGTGGATAATAGACATGTTTAGTAGAATATCGGAGGAAAGGCTTGGGTATATCAGTAGGTTACAGAGTAGATCGCCTAATTCCGCTGTTAGGACTCCTCCATTCCAGGAAATTGAGGATAATGTTGTCTCGCGACAAATCAACGAAGATGTAACCATATTCGGGGAAAGTGGCGTTGTGCCTGGACGTGTTTACTTGCCGAACACGTTCACTGGAGGACCACGTTATATGAAGTACAAATATATGGATTCTGTCGCTTTAGTTAATAGATAAGGTCCCCCGTCATATTTTCTAACTATCGTTCGTAATCCCAAGTGGCCAGAAATCCAACAGTCCACCCCTGTCGGCCAAAGACCTCATCCTTTGCATTGTGCTAGAGTTTTTAAGTTAAAGTTATCTCAATTGTTAAAAGATTTCCGCTCTGGTAAATGGTTCGGAAGGTGCATGTATATTATGCATGTCACTGAATTCCAAAAACGAGGACAAACTTATGCCCACAATTGCTTTAGAGAAGAAGGCGGTGATCCCGTTCAAAACGTAGACATAGATCAGTTTGTTAGAGCAGACCTTCCTGCTTCCATCGAAGCAGAGGGTAGATTACGCAAAGCCGTACTGGATCATATAATCCATGGTTCCTGTGGTCCTCCGTTTAGGACTGATCTTCCTTATTGGGATCCGGAAAAAAAAGGTGTGTTAAGTTTTTCTATCACCTATTGCGATGATAGAGGGTTTGTCCACTTAAAACGTAGTTCTAAAAATGAGGCCACAATCAAATATCAGGGTAAGGATGTCCCAATTAATGATTTATGGGTTGTTTCGTACAACACTGCATTACTCCTCAAGTATGACAATCACATTTATTTATGCGCTTATTAAGCCCGAGCTGTCGTTAGGAATTTATTCAAAATTTATGACGAAAGGCCCACATCATTCCCGGGTTATGATTGTATGCGAAGCCGTAGCGCTACCGTGAGTTGCTATCGAAAATTCTCATTACGTTACCGCAGTCGATAGCGAATAAACGCACTTTGAATAGTATTCGATAGAAGTTGTACCATGAGTCACATTTACATTTACTATACTCGCTAACGTTAATTCGAACATTCGAATAGTTTTTGTTACGTGACCGTGTATTGCGCCTAACTTCACTCCAAATGAAACTGTCTCGTTCTAATTATGCTGAATAGAGTGAGAAAGGATGATTTTGGGCAAAAAACTGGGTATTTAGATCTTCAAATTTCAAAAGTAGATAAAACCCTACTAATTTTAAGCGTTATTAATCAGTCTCATAACGCGAAGTGTAACTGATTATTGGATTTATTCGGTTATTTCCTTGTTGTGACAGGTCATTGAGTGTTCTGTTTCTTGACTGGCGTTGTTTTGATAAATTGTGCATAAACTAGTGATTCACAAATACAGTTATTGGTTGAGTATATGGAAAAATATGTACTTCAATACATTTATATTATATTATTAATACCTAGAATATATTTTGTACAGTAAAATGTAGTCCTCCAGATTTTTTAGATGAAATATTTGTTTAAGTGTTCAGATAAAGTTAAGGAATGCTGAGTGCTTTTTATTTGGTTAAGGTTTAACTTTTAAAACAGACGCAGTTTATGAAATACAGTAAGAATATACAACCTAATTCAATGCTATCCCTCTGTCCCCTCTCACCGCTTCCGAAGCCGCCGCCGCTGCCGCCGTTGATGTCTCTTCCTCTTCTTTGCCCGCAACTGCTGCCATTATAGAGGGAAGAGTCCCGATCGGTCGACTCGCCCATCCCGCAGCCAGAATATCACCCGATTTTAGAATTATACCCACTGAGACTAGATTGCGGCAAATAATTCCTAACGACGCGCTCGTCTTTTACACGGACGGGAGCAAAACGCCCGTTCGCGAGGGAGACTGGCGTGGAGAGACAGGGGCAGCGATCGTCATCGAAGGAGGGAGCTTCGGACACGAAGTCGCCCCCCCTCCCTCGGCGCATAAGCAACAACAACAACAACAACAACAGTCATTACATTCCACACCGCAGGCGGCGGCCCGACGCCCCGCCCACGATTCGCTCTCGAACTTTTGCTGCACTCGGGAGTATCGCTTGGGCCCGTTGTGTTCCAACTTTCAGGCCGAGGCGCTCGCCATGGAGAAAGCTTGCGGCCTGGCCACGGAGGCGGTCAGACTGGGCCGCCCTGCGTGGATTTGTTCCGACTCATTGTCTACCCTGATGGCCATACAGGATAGGAGCTCCACGCACCCTATTATTCATAACATCCATCGCGGGCTGATGCGCGCCCCCGTTAACGGCCCCTCGATCAATTTGGCATGGGTGGCGGCCCACAAGGGAATTAAGGGCAACGAGCTGGCGGACGCCGCCGCGAAACGGGCGGCCAGGAACCGTCTTCTCCCTACGGAATACGAAGCCGCCCCCATGTCGGCCGTCAAGGCTCGCTCAAAGAAATGGGCTATGAGAGAGTGGCGCGCCAGGTACGAGTCCGCCGCGACGGGTGCGCGTACGAGGGAGCTCTTCCCCACCCTCAGCGAGCTCCTGGCCTTTAGGAGGATACACAGAAATGATTTCCATAACACTCAGTTTCTCTCAGGGCACGGGTCGCATTTACAATACCTTGCGCGGTTCGGTATCACCGACACCGACAGATGTCCTTGCGGGGCGGGCGACATACAGACCCCCGACCACCTATGGAGAGAATGCACCCGCTTCCAAGAGCTCAGAAGAGAGTATATACAAGAGTGTAGGTTTCTCGGGGCCGACGACCCCTTTCAACTTAAATCGTTCGCTGCACTTCGCAAGGGCGAGACCCTCGTTGAGAAATTTGCTATTTATATCAGAAAGATTTATACAGAGCTTAGAAACTTCAACGAGCGGGGCGGCAGCTCCGCAGCATCTCATGCTACCACCGTTGACTCGCCGTCGCCGTCGCCGCCGTCGTCGCCGTCGCCTTCGCATCCTCTTACGTTCCGTCCGCTCGGCGGAGGCGCCGGGCGGACCCACGACGGCGCGGATTCGCCCTGCCCACGACGCAGCGATAGACTTCGAGATCGCGCCCTTTTGTCGAACTCATTCGGCCGCGATCGATGTCGTCGCCTCGAGACCGACGTCGGCGTCGCCGCCGCCGGCGATGATCGTCATCAATCGGATCGCCCGCCGCGGCGATCGCGATGGCGACGCATAATTCAGTTCTCGGATTCGGACTCGGACGGACGGCCCCCTTCGGGCCCTACCTCGGTTAGATCCTTATTGTCGTCGCCGTCGCCGCCGCGGCCGTTGCTGTCGCCGCCGCCGCGGCTGCTGCCGCCGCTGCTGCTGCCGCTGCGGCCGCTGCCGCCGCTGCCGCTGCCGCTGCTGCCGCTGCCGCTGCCGCCGTCGCGGCCACCCGCCGCGTTGTCACCGATGTTCGACGTCGGCGTATCGTCGCCGTCGCCCCCGTTGTCGTCGCCGCCGTTGCCGTCCTTCTCGGCTCGACTTCCGGCTACTGGCGGTTTGCTTCTTCGCTACTTTAGCGACGCCGGGATCGGTCGTTCGTCGCGACCGAGTAAACTGCGATCGCCGTCGCGGGCGGAGTCGTCGCCCGCGTCGACGTCGCGACCTGCCGCGCTGCGGTCTGCGCTGCGTGCTGCGGCGGCGGTTCCGTTGCGGCGGCCGAAGCCCGCGTCGTCGTCGCCATTCAGTCTTCGTAGTTACGTTTCATCATCACCATCGTCACCGTCGTCACAGTCGACGCTGACTAGAGAGCCGACATCGTCTCGGCGCTATTCAGAGGCAGACGCATCGCCCTCATCGGACGAAGCGAGCTCGGCTGCGAGCGAGCGACGATGACGACGACGACAATCGCAGCAGTATCGAAGTATATGACCGAAGGTTCGCATAGAACGGACGAGCGGTCTCGACATTTTCATCGATGCGAGCCGGGTAGCAACAGTGAAGGCAGCAACATCATCATTAGTCACACAATAGAGACGCACGCGCACGGCAAGGAACAATAGCGCTCGGCGGCGACACGTCATAGCGATGCGACGCGCGACGTCATCCGCGCACACACGCGCGCCCCGCTCCGTCCTCGCCCCCGCCGCACGTTCAGTTCACCCTTGGGATTTTTCGCGACCGAACGCCGCGCGCAGTTTTTATTAAAAACACCAAGTTATCACTTCAGTCAGTGCGGTCGTCATCGGAACGATATCGGTCGGATAAGGATGGACGGTACGAATGACAAGTGTGCTTCGATCTTTTCGTGCAGTGACGGGATGTCGTCGTTCGAAATCGAGCGCGAGACGGAGTGCTCGGAGGCTCGCCGACTGAATGACGCCCTCGATCGTGTGGAACGCGATTCACCAATGAGCGGCGCCGTTGTCGCCGCTATACGCGACATGATTCGCGCCACTGATAGACAACACTCGTTCTTGGCTAATGAACGAAGGACGCACGGCGAATCAGTGCGACACATCGACCGGCTCATTCGCGCCCTCAGCGACGATCTTCGTGCGGGGGCTTCGGAGTCGTCGCCGCGGTTCTCGTCGTCGTCGTCGTCGTCGTCGCCCCTCGAGGCCTCGCTCGAGCGCCGGCGGAGGCGGCGATCGCGGCCGAGACGAACGGCGCACGGGACGTTCAGCCTCGTCAAACTCGCCCTGGATGCAATGAACGGCGCCCTCTTAGACGGCGTCATAGCCACCGCTCACGCTGCTCCTGGGCGATCCGATGGCCACCAACACCGACATTATCGTTATCGTCATTGTCGCCGCCAACACCAACGTCACCAGCGCTGCGACAGCGGCATCGTGGTCGACGGGGTCGACGCCGCTCCCGACCTCAACTCGGATCTCGCGTGCGCGATGCGGACCGCGTGCGCGGACGACGCCGTCGTTGCCGTCGACTCCGGTGCGGCCTCGGCCTCGGTTTTGGCTTCGTTTCCGGCCTCGGCCTCGGCCCCTTCGGCCGCGTCTTCGGTCGTCGTCGCCGCTGCCGATGCGCCCCCCGTCGCGACCGCCATCGACTCGATCGCCGACCGGAAGGAGGAAGACGACCACCATCACCACCAATATCATCACAAGACAGAGGAGGACGCCTTCGACATGAACGAGTACCTATTTCCGAGGGCGGCGGCGGCGGACTTGTCGTCGTCGTCGCTCGCGGCGGCCGGGGCTGCGACCGCGATCGCGACAGAGACACTCGAGACGTCGTGCGTGATCGATTCCGACTTCGCCACTATGTTTGGACTCCCCGCTTACGGGATCGCCACCTATTACCTCACCGAGCAGGCCGCGGCCGCCGCTGCGGTCGCCGTGACGGCCACAGCCGTAGTCGCCTCTTCCTCCTCTTCTGCGCACGTCTCCGTTTCGGATTCCTTCCGCTCCGCCGCCGCCGTGCTCGCGTCCGCGTCCGCGTCCGCGTCCGTGCCCGCCTTTGCATCCTTCGCGGTGACGACGACGACTGCGGTGACGACGACGACTACCCCTCTAGCGACACTCGCGACTCGCGGGGGCGGCGCCGTCGTTGCTTCGATCGGTTTGGATGCGCTCGCGCCCGCGCCCACGCCTAACGAGGGCCGGCGGGTGCGCGGCGGTGGCAGGAGACGCGAAGAACAAGAACTCCAACTACAACAGCAACAACATCAACGGCGACAACAACGCGTGAACACCCCCTCGATATATCCCAGTATCACCGAAGAGTGCCGTCTGTTTGTGGAGGATTTAGAGCATAAGAATTATACTCTGCTCAAAAACAGACCGGACATGAAAGTGCGACAGTGTGTTCTCTGCGGCGGTGCGCTAACACATCCCGTTAGCCGTCATTTTAGACGGGTACACCCCAACTACACCTTCGACAATCGGCACCCTCACTTCCCGAAGCCGTACTACTTTTATACGGCCACGGTCGTAATGAGGTGCCCTGAGGAGCTGCGCCCTCCTGCCAGTGTCGCGGAAACGGTCCAAGGATTCGAGCCGGGCCCATGAAATGTGCACGACGACGACAACTACTCGAACGTATCGTACGGCATAGTATCGATTCGTTCACCATCTTCTCAGCTGATTGTAAATAATTATTATTATCATCGACGAATAGTGCATCGTGCATGAGTCTGCTTCGCATACGTAATATTGATTCATTCGATTTAGTCACATAGGTTAACATAGTCTTCTTTTTGTAGTATTATATAATCACTCTGTCTATATATACATATATATGCGCGCGTCAGCGAATGAGCGACTGTCGTGTGCGTCATAATTTTTAAATTGATTCTATTTAGCTGTTTACTATTATCATAATTTTGCTACGACCAAACAATTATACTTTTTATTTTGTTCATTTTTCGAGGTCAGAATACATTTGATTAAGCAAGTGAGGACTTGAACATACACATAATAATTCGTTCCTATAACATACACCAGTTTTAGTGTATGCGTAATTTAATATTAGTCTAATTTTAAGTTTAACTCTAGTTTTAGTATAACTTTAAAACAAATGACTGTCAAACAGTCACTTATTATCTACTTTTTTTTTATATAAACAATGTAAATATTAGTGATTTAATTCAATATATATCATATTTGTTATTACTATTTACAAATTGTTAACTAATTGTTAATCGTTAATTTTCTTTATACACATAGTTTCTTTTCTTTTTGCAATCACCGACTATTCGCAGTTATCGAGCTTATATTCGGCCATTATTTTTATGTTTACATTCATAATCTTTAGTTAAAATTTGTATTATATTATATAATCAACGAACTATCAGGCACTTTAAAGATTATTTCATGTTAATATTACACTGTATCACGGCCAGTTATGGCAATTGTTTTCTCTTTTCTTTATAGTATTATTGTTGATTCTTATTAGAAACAGTTTATTAAACATGTTGAAATTTATTTCATTTAGTCATCGAAATACAAATCATCAGTAACAAATTTTATGTACTATCCTTGTAACTGTCATGTTTATCTATCTTATAAGTAACAACCAATCTTAAATTGTTATGCCATTATAGTATCATATGTTTACTCATTATGCTTACCTTGTTATGTCATTTAGTACATTAAAATTGTCTTTTTTTATATACAATTTACATTCATATACATTTTTATGATTGATCTCAACTTTATATTAAGAAAATTACATTGTAATAGCGTTAAATCGATCACACTACATTATACTTGCCGCCCATATCTGACAACAATTTTGTATATTATATATATAATATCAATCTGTCATGTTAAAGTCAATTTTCTTTCTTCCTTAAAAATCTCAAATCTTAAATACATTGTAAGTTGGCGTACCACTA